TAGTAAAGAACAGAAGGTGAAAACAAAAAATTGATGGACTGATTAAAGTTACACGTAATTTATTCCAGTATAAACTTACAGAAATAGACGATATAGTACCGTCTACATTCAACATCACCTGAAAAACTTTGATGATTATAAATATTTTTTTTTGTTTTGCAAAACTCGTGATAAAATTTTTATGCTAAATTCTGAAGAGGTTTTAATGATAACGTAACAGAAGGTTTGGACTCTATTTGTATGAAAGAAAATTGATAAAACTAAGAAAAACGTTGAGGCTGTTTTAATAAATCAAGTGAAAATGAGTAAATATTCGTAGTTGAATCGGATCAAAAAAAAAGTTGTTTGGAACACAGAAAACTGTGCAAATAAAGCAATTATAGAAATATGGGATGATACTAAATTGAAAAAAAACTGGGTGTTGATTTTACGCAAAACAATGAAAAAAAATAGATCAATTACAAATATATTTTTTGAGTTTTTGTCAGGCGCAAAGCTACATAATGAGGTTTCTATGTTGTGTCCACCACCGGTATCGAAACCCGGTTTTTAGCGTTATAAGCCTACGGACCTACTACTGTGCCATTATGGTAGGGGCACTATGTTGAGAAATGGTTTTTATTTTTAGCGGTATATACTTCCCCTAGTGTTCAAAACTGTCATTTCACGTCAGTTTCCCATTTACGTTTTGAAAAATAAAACCAAAAGTGCGTAGCTCTAAAATCAATGTTCAGAACAGGTAAAGACCAGAACTAATGAACCGTTGTTTATCGACATGTTTGTTCTCGACGTGACGTAAATTCTGTGGGATTGACCACGTGTCATTTAGAGCAGCGTACTAAATATCACCTGTTTGTAACTAAGCGCAAAGCTACACCGTGGACTAACCTGATTTGTTATTTACTCTCAGACTTGCCGTTGAACCACCAGAAGGGGAAGGGGGGGTAAATGAGCATCTGAAGCCTAATGCAAGAATGAGACATTCTTTCAATAAATATCAAATGTGCACATGAACTTTATTGAAGTTTGAAATAACATGTAATTTCAACAAGAAACAAAATTTTAGCTATCAAGAAACGTAAACCAAAGTTGAATTACCGAATATAAATACGTTGTATTATAGTTTATATAGAGACACATTGTATTACAGTATAGAGACACATTGTATTACAGTATAGAAATACATTGTATTACAGTATAGAGACACACTGTATTACAGTATATAGAGATACATTGTATTACAGTATAGAGACACACTGTATTACAGTATAGAGACACATTGTATTACAGTATAGAGACACATTGTATTACAGTATAGAGACACATTGTATTACAGTATAGAGACACACTGTATTACAGTATAGAGACACACTGTATTACAGTATAGAAATAGACTGTATCACAGCATAGAAATACATTGTATTACAGTATAAAAATAGGCTGTATTACAGTATAGAGATACACTGTATTACAGTATAGAAACAGGCTGTATTACAGTATAGAGACACTGTATTACAGTATAGAGACACACTGTATTACAGTATAGAGATACACTGTATTACAGTATAGAGACACACTGTATTACAGTATAGAGATACATTGTATTACAGTATAGAGACACATTGTATTACAGTATAGAGACACTGTATTACAGCATAGAAATACATTGTATTACAGTATAGAGACACACTGTATTACAGTATAGAGATACACTGTATTACAGTATAGAAACAGGCTGTATTACAGTATAGAAATAGACTGTATCACAGCATAGAAATACATTGTATTACAGTATAAAAATAGGCTGTATTACAGTATAGAGATACACTGTATTACAGTATAGAGATACACTGTATTACAGTATAGAAACAGGCTGTATTACAGTATAGAAACAGGCTGTATTACAGTATAGAAACACTGTACTGTACGCAGTGAATTCTTTATTGAGAGAAAAAACAATTGTTTCGATGGTGTAAAATGTCTGACATTAACTACTGAATGATTATTTCCTGGTGAAGTTTATATAGAAACATAGGCTAACAGGTACTGACCTAGTTAGTGAAACCAACATTTGCTGTTATACCAAAACAATCAAAATACGTTTAAAATTCCAGGTTTCACCCGGATTGACTGTTTTTGTTTAAACGGTTGATTTGTTACTACAGTTCTACCACCCGAGATTTTTCACACAAGAAATTCAAAATACTGTCAGCTTCGGCTTTTCATAGACCACCAGCTCGTTTTACACACACCTCTATAAGAAAACAAACGAGATCAATGTGTTGTTGCTAGGATACTCTATAGACTTCTGGTAGAGTTGATTTTCTAGAAATTGGCCAGTTGAACAAATGAAAGGGTTTTTCAAAACAACAACAACAACAACAAAATACTAAGATCATCAATATACTGTTGCTAAGATACATACCTTAGGCTACCGATATGGTTCTTTTTCTAAAGACTGACCATTTGAAGAGTTAAATTTTCCACGTGCTACGTAACGACCGACAAATCGAATTATCATTTCGTGATTTACCTGTTGTTAACTAAGTACAAGTACTTATAAAACAATAGTATATAAGATAGGTGAAACAGACGCTGTCTCAACAACACGCACGCTCTTCCGTTTTTACGTGCCACTCCCCTCCGTACCAGGCGAGAACGTTACGTTAACATATATCCAAGCATAATAATACACATTTTTCTCAACTTCAGTATTTATCAATCAAGTCTTTTACTAAGTCTTCATTACTACGTGAACCTGTACACGTTTCTTAAAAACCAAACAAAAACAGTTCTCTTTCACTCACTGTGATAGAAAAGGTAAGTAAAAAAAATTAAGTACAAATGATTCTACAAATTCACTTACCTTCCGTCAGGCTTAAATAATTATACTTTGATGCGTTATGAAAATATGATTTTTTTTTAAAAACAGTTTTTCACATGCCTTGATAGGATAACAAGGACAAGCATCGCTTAGGGAATACATGTTTAAACTACAAACAGGATAGTAACATACATTCAGTAGGAATTTACAGTAAGGGCTCTAACCCTGAACTTTACACCTTGAAGTTCATCAGTCTTTAGATTCTGGGTTTTACTGATAATAATGACACGTTAACTGTTTACAAAACGTTTTGTTTAACTCAACAATAACAAATGGGCCGAAATTTAAAATTACGTCACTCGAAATGATTGGATTTAACCATGAATTTTTACTTTATATACCCCACGAACAACAATGGAAGACATCCCTAACGTTTATCGAATCAGTGTATGAACTTTTCTGTCTTGTTTGATTGGCTCAAACTCTGAAATATATTAAAATCAAATTTGTTTGATTGGCTCACACCCTGAAATGTGCTAAAGTGAAACTTGTTTGATTGGCTCACACTCTGAAATATGTTAAAATCAGATTTGTTTGATTGGCTCACACTCTGAAATGTGCTAAAGTGAAACTTGTTTGATTGGTTCACACTCTGAAATATGTTAAAATCAGATTTGTTTCATTGGCTCACACTCTGAAATGTGTTAAAATCAAACTTGTTTCATTAGCTCACGCTCTGAAATGTGTTAAAATCAAACTTGTTTTATTGGCTCACACTCTGAAATGTGTTAAAATCAAACTTGTTTCATTGGCTCATATTCTAAAATATTTTTGTTTAATTGGTTCAAGATTTGAAATGGTTCACATCGATTGGCCTTCATCGTGAGTGTGCTTTGTGCTACTTTGTTCTATTGGTTGGTCCATATTTCAATCAAATTTTTCTGCATAATAAAGTATTCTTACCTGTTTCACTTACGAAGATATTTGTTTTCCACCAACCCGATGTCCTGTGTTGACCGAAAAGAATTATTACTGGGGGCGACGTTGCTTTCTCTTCGACGACTGGCGTTCACTGAGATCGGACAGCACGCACAAAACAGCGAAAGTAGGGTTTCCTTAAAGGCCTCTCTGAAGTCTCTGTTGAAGTAGGCATAGATAATGGGGTTAAGTGAGGAATTAAAGTAACCAATCCAGAAGAGTGTATCCACGACAATGTCGGGGCAGAAACAAGCTTTTCCACACATTGCTGTTGATACATACCACAAGAAGAAAGGCAACCAACACATGATGAAAGCACCCATGATGATACCTAAAGTCTTGGCTGCCTTATGCTCCCGTTTTAACTTAATCAGGTGACGTTTAGTGGGAGTAGAATGACCACTCTCGGGGTCATCACAATGAGAATTTCTCTGATGGGGCGTGGAGTTTATTTCCCCAGTTGCAGTGTGATCGGTACTGGGTCGAGGGTACATCCCAGGCTGTGTCTTCAGCAACATTTTTTCCTGTTTTGAGGCTTCCAGGAAGATCTTCCAGTAGGTGAAAACCATGATGAAGCAAGGAATCCAGAACGATACACTGGACGAGATGATGGCGTACGGCTTGTTCACCACGAAAGAGCAGTCGTCAGGATGGTTTTCTTTAAATTTCAGATGATCCACTGTCGTGTACCATCCTAGAAAGATGGGGATGAAGGATATCAAGGCAGAAGAGACCCAAACGCATAAGAGCATGATAGCCACGGCTCGGCCAGTCAGTTTGTTGGGGTATTCCAAAGGTTTGATGATCGCGTAATAGCGGTCAACGCTGATGCAACACAAGTGCATAATGGAAGCCGTGGAGAATAATACGTCGCAGGAGTTCCAGAAATCGCAGGTGATGGGGTTGAATACCCACCTGCCGGTAATCTTGACACTGGCGTTGAAAGTCATGGCCAAAAGCGCCACCAGGGTGTCGGCAAAGGCAAGGGACACAATGAAATAGTTGGTGGTTATCCGCAGTTTCCGGTGGCGGAACACGCTGACGATCACCAGGGTGTTGCCGAACACCGCAGCAAACATGATGACGATCATCACCGATGATTTGAGAACTAAAATCAAGACGTCGTCCCATGTTTCGGGTCGCGACACCACGTCGGTGTCATTTTTGGTGTTGGTCACAATAGAATTGTTCAGATAAACGTGAACAAAAGCGCTGGCGCGATCTTCATTCGTCATGATGATTACCAAGATCCCAAGCCTACTTTACCATCCTTAAGCCAAGGACTGAAGAATAACTCTGCGTGGTAGTTGCTCCAAGGAGCAGCCGCTCTTTAGGCGTACTAAAGTTTCGTGGTTTCCTGCCAATACGAACGTGCCACTAAGCCGCGCGCGCTCTCTCACGTGGAAGAAACGAAGCCTTTCGAAAAGGACAAATAAGACGACACACACACACAGATATATATATATATATATATTTGAGGGTAAGCCAATCCAGAAGTTAAATTTCCACCTATCTACTATAGGCGTGAACGTCTGAAGGCGGAGTTATTAACTACATTTTTACTACACACACACACACATATGTAAATAAAAAGGAAATACTTATTTTCCCATTACTCGATGACGTAACTCAAAGGTTACTTTTTATTGGATTACTGATGCGTACAGTGACACAGCATAAATACGCAGTTTTTCTGTGTTGCCTTGTTTATTTTAAGGATAGGTAGACAGATTTAATATATATATATATTAAATATATCAAAGAAATAATCCTTACTGAATTCCTTCACTCGTGGTGATCTATATAGTCTTGAAACGTATAAAAGCGTCAGTTAAGCCTTCATACGGTGCTAATTTTAACTTGCTGGTATGTTTAACGTTGGGCTTTTTGGCAATTTTTCTTTTACTCATCTATTTTTTTTAAAATAATCTAACGAAAGACGCATGAGACCTGTCTTGAGACCCCTTCCCCACTAATCTTTAAATAAAGTAAGTGCTAGAACAAGAGGGGTGTTTCGAGTTTTAATCCTCGAGATTTGTTCAAGTACACTGTTATGCTCTACTTCGCATAGTTACAATTTAACTCGGCTCAAGGTGACAATATAAGCACACTAAAACTTAGCGATTTGGCCTAAGTAACACTAATTAATGGTAAAATAAAAACAACGACATTTGGTACCAGTTGAGGTGAACACAGAGTTAGTAAATACTTCCTGCACTTAAGATCTTCCACGAAATATGAAGGTTTTGTTTTTTTTCTCCGTCTTTGTGTTGTGGTGTTAATAGTACGGTGTATCTGAGTGTGAGAAAAGTTATGGTCTCGTGATTATCCATTAAAAATCAGACGAACGAGAAACTGCGAGAACATAAACACGATCAATTCAGGGATCTTTTAATTGTTGTGTTCTCATCCACGAAACGCAAGCGAAAACTGTGAAAACAGACAAGTAATTAGGCGAATTTTGAGAAAAAAACATAAGGAGAAATTAAACGTCGAAGACCGAGACATATAGCTTTTAATTATGTTAAGAAGTTGTCATCAAACATTTTTATATTTTTAATTGGATGTTTTTAGATCACGTGACTCAGCTCAATGCTAGGGCGGTTGCTATGAGACGGAGAATTTGTTCACATAGCACAAAATGCTATTTTTTTTAATGAATTGGCGCTAAATATAATCGTTAATGGTTTTTATGTTCGATATTTACCGAGTCGGATAATCTTAGCTATTGTTTTGTCGGTTGATGAAATGTAAAACTATATTTTACTGACTTATTTGTACAATAAAAAAGCTGTAAACAACGAGTTGTCAGTAAAATAATGTATGGTAAATTACTCCAATTTTCATTTTACTACAGTTTTAATCAATGTGCATGTTTTATTACATAGATGGCAGCACGCACGTATTAAACTATAAATGGCAATGTGCATGTTTTATTACATAGATGGCAGCACGCACGTTTCATATCATATAGAGGGCAGCACGCACGTTTCGTATAATATAGAGGGTAGCATTCACGTTTCTTACTGTGGAGAGCAGCATATACGTATATTATAGATGGCAGCACGCACGCATCAAATCATAAACGACAACACGCTCGTTTCATGCAGTGGATGGTAATATGCACTTATCATACTACAGAGGGCAGCACGCACATTTCATGGTATGGAAATCAGCATTCATGTATTACATTTGATAATATAGATGGCAGCGTGCACTTATCATACTATAGAGGTCAGCACCTACGCTTCAAACATATTGTGAACAGAACCTAGTTATTTCTTGCGATGTACTCTAGTTACAGAAAGATTTCCGAAGAAAATGCAATTGTATTTATATTGATAAAACTAATATAAAAAAGTATCTTTCTAATTAGTCTCGGTAAGACTGAGAGCATATAATGCCTCCAATCGAGTTTCGATACCAGTGGTGGGCAGAGAATTTGCAGCTTTATTCAAGTTGATTGATTTCATCAGCAAGCCCCCCTCATACCCAGTGGCACAGCGGTATATCTGCGGACTTACAACGCTAGAAACAGGGTTTCGATACCCGTGGTGGGCAGAGCACAGATAGCCCATTGTGCAGCTTTGTGCTTAACTTCAAACAAACAATCATCAACAAGACAAACTGATAAAATAAATACTTCCTTTATGATGAAAACTACCCAATGGGCTATATGCGCTCTCTTCACATCGAGAATCAAACTCCGGATTTTAGCATTGTAGGTCTATAAACTTACCGTGACCCACCAGGGGGACTTTCATCGTTGGCGCACTACACATTTAATATTCTTTACGCCACCGTGAGGAACCGAATCCTGCACTTTAACGTCGTGAGTCTAAATTCATCACTAAGCCACCGAACGGGTGGGGGACTACTCTCGATTTAATGAATAACTGACGCTAAACCACCGAGGGATGGGGGACTACTCTCGATTCAATGACAATAAAATTTGAAATTTGGTGTATAACATTTCAAAGAATTAAATCAAGCTAGAAAAGTTTTCAATTACTTATTAATTGTCTTCGCTTTATTATATTTTATTTTTTGTCTGTTTTGGCCAAAACAGCATATGAATCTTGAAAGTATATTTAGTTTGAAGATGAGAGGCAGTGGAAAGAAAACCAAATAGTTGTTGGTTTTTAGGTTTGGGCGATTTGTGCTCTAACTACCACGGGTATCGAAACCTAATTTTTAGCGTCGTAAACCTGAGGAATTAACGATTAGACAACAACCACAAAATGGAAAGAGAAAATAGAAAGAGAACATCAGAAGTGGACCGAGTGTAAAATGTGAACGGACTTCTACATGAGAAACACATGAAAATGTTTTCTGTTAGCCGGAAGGACTTAGCACGTGCCACGTAAAAGTGTCAGGTTACTGAGACAATTAATGACTTTGATACTACAATCAATCAATGCAACTGACACCTATAAAGAAGCACGTGTGTCTGCGTGTGTCTGTGAATGCACGAGGCTACTTGTACAAATGTAAGCCGTTTCCTGTATTTTATTTCTTGTAAACCCCAGCTCTGTGGAATCCTGTATATTGTTTGTATCAAATAACTAATTGATGAACCGAGTTCATCGTTTGTTTCTTGACGCCAATCTTCTTGATTACCCCCCCCCCCCCGCCCAGTGGCTCAGCAATAAGTCTGAAGGATTGTAACGCTAACAACCGGGTCTCGATGCCCGTGATGGGCACAGCACAGATAACCCAATGTGTAGTTTTGTGCTGAACAACAAACAAACAAAGCAACGCCACTCGATGGCTGTCTACGCTAGCCATTCCTAATTTGTAGTGATTGACCACCTACCGTCAACTCTTGGGCTACTTTTTACCTACGAACAGTGGGATTCTCCATCATATTATAACGCCCCCAAGGCTGAAAGGGTGAGCATGTTAAGTCACGGACTTCGATCTGGTGGCTCTCACCATGCCCCCGAATCACCAGTAATTTTTTCTTCATTTTACTATTAAACTGAATTTCGTGTATTGTTTGTCTAGTACTGACCATGAATACTAAATTTTGTGTCCGTTTTACGGTTAATATAATATACATTGTCTCAAGTGACTAGTGATTTTTCTGTTTGTATTAAGCTGAACTTCGTATGTTGTTTGTTTCAAGTGACGAGTGTTAAGTGAGTTCTCCATATTGTTTTACTGATTTAATCACCACCGTAAGTACGTCTACAATAATAAGTGATACAGAGAGAGTGTAACCTTTCTGTCTATAGGACTGGCGGGAAAGTTTGTTTGTTCGTAATTAAGCACAAAGATATACAGCAGGCTATATGTGCTCTGCCCATTACGGGTATCGAAACCCGGATTCTAGCCTTTTAAGCCCGCAGACATACCGCTATGCCACTGGGGTGGGGCTGGCAGGAAAGAATCGATAGTCCGCAGACATACCGCTATGCCACTGGGGTGGGGCTGGTAGGAAAGAATCGATAGTCCGCAGACATACCGCTATGCCACTGAGGTGGGGTGGGGCTGGTAGGAAAGAATCGATAGTCCGCAGACATACCGCTATGCCACTGGGGGGGGTCAGGAAAGAATCGATAATCAGTCACGTGTATGAACAAGTACGGTAACAATGTTTGTCTTCTGATTTCTAACGATAAAATCATCCCGTATCTTCCCCTAGCAACTGAGAAACGTTTGAGTGTCGAAGAGATTGATACCAGAATCAATACGAGTCAAGTGTTTTATACGGTATATGTACGAACAGACTTCGGTGCACGTGGTGTGCAGCTGCGCCCAGTCGTTTCTTGTTTGGTGTACGTGTGAATCGTTCCAAATTCATTACATGCATTGTTCATTTATATGATGAGTTGTGGCTAAAGGCCCCCAGTGAAGACTGGCCATCCGTTCGACAGAGAGAGAGAGACAGAGAGTTGTATACACGTACTAAAATCATAAAAAGATTGAAATAAGACCTTTTAAACTCTATAAGTTGATAATTTATTATTAGGCACACATTGTGTTGTGTTCTGTAAATGAAGGGATTTTATGTAGAATAAAACATAAAGTTTTATCAATTACTTAAACTCTGACGATGGTAACCATGTTATTGACTCTAGTGAACATAAAGTTTTATTAATTACTTAAAGCTTGATAATGGTAACCATGTTATTGACTCTAGTGAACATAAAGTCTTATCAATTACTTAAATTCTGACGATGGTAACCATGTCATTGACTCTAATGAACATAAAGTTTTATTAATTACTTAAAGCTCTGATTATGGTAACCATGTTATTGACTCTAGTGAACATAAAGTTTTATTAGTTACTTAAAGTTCTGATTATGGTAACCATCTTTCCTGATTATGGTAACCATATTACCAACCACCGTTACTTCTATACGGTATCATTTACGTAAAAT